AGACAAGTAGAATGATCCAAGCATAACTACTGTGTGGTATGTAGCTAATTGTAGCATATGGTTCCAATCTGGCATAGGCAATAAGAATTTGTGGCACCCACGAATATACGTAAGGGGAGCTGTCATTTCAACAACACTTCTTATGTATGCTACTAATTGTTCTTCAGTAGTGCAGGGATGGGAAACATAAGACCATCAAAGTCTTGCTGAACTACAACCCATGGTAGCCTCAACCAGCACGGCCAAGTGTGAGAACTATGGATTTTAGCAATGGTTGAAAGGCCGCAGATCTCGCATTTCTGTGAAAGAGGAAAAACAGAGATGTACGCATAACTTGTAGAAGGCATTGAGGTAGTACACATTAGTACTGCTGGACTTGGATTCCCACAGGGTTATCAAGAAAGCTAATTTTGGTCTTAAAGGTTCAGTTGCAAGAAGTGCGTCTCAAAGAGAGTGTGAACAATGATGGACAGAGTTTCAGAGCTTCAGTAATAGTGCCTTTTGTTTACCCTGAACAAAGCAAATGTGTTGCCTACTTCTGTATTCTGTCTACTGGGGCAATTGGAATCAACCTGCAAGGCAGATGTCTGCAATATGCATCCAGTTAGGCTGGATTTTTGTGCTCGGTTGAATGCATAAGATTAATTTGGTTCTCATTAGTTTACTTACGTTGAATGGTTTGTAAAATTGTAGCCATAAAGTTCAGATGATTTGTCCCTCTGTTCAGCATTTATTTTTGAATTTAGCTTAAACTGATGTTGTCTTCAGTCAGTTGCTTACACAGAAGTGCTTCCCCGCATATCCCAGACATTAGTTCTGCACTTTAAAAAAAGCTTCTTGCATTTTATGTGAATATTTAATTGGCCATTTATAAAACCCAAACTATTCAAATTATTTTAGTAGGTATGATACATGTATGTTGTCAAATTTGTCAGTGGTCTTGTGTCAGATATATAAGTAGTTTGGGTGTATTCAAGTAAGAAAACTAATTCTTACTTCAAGTGTGGTTCCTGAAGTTACGGCAACTGTAATAATATTCTGTTTGGAAAAATACAGTAATCCCGTCATGTTCCTCATCTTAGCATCGATTGATCCATTTAACTCTGTGCTGCTTTCAAAAAGTGTGGCTGCATGATATCATGAGTAATCAGTATAGCTAGTTTAATTAGATCCTTCTATATTCATTTATGTGGACCAACTATCTGACAATGCACTTCTGAGAGATTTAATCCTAAAATTTACTTCAAATCCCAATTATGCATTCTGTTAATCAGCCTCTTATGATTTCTTCCAATACCTTTTGACCTCAAACTCATATTCTAATTTGTATGAGAAAAATAGAGTAATACTGACATGTTTATTAGCAGGTTTGGACCTATAGTTGGTACAGCTGAGTGAGTCCAAAACCCACTATCCAATTGTCATGTCAACAAGTAGATATGGGAACAAGTACCATCTACTTTTTTCCTTTGTCTTTGCTTTATAAAAGCATCAAAACAGAAGAAGCTCTTGGAGTGAGGCAAGAGTAGGATTGCACAGAATCTGCTCCCAGTATAATTGCATCTCTTTAGTGACTATTTTTGTTATGGAGTTGTAATTATGAAGAAAACTACTGATTCTTCCCCCCCTCACCACCCACCACCCCTGATTGCCAAAGAAGTCTTACAATAGGCTGCAAAGGGGAAGAATTTTTCCTATGGGTCAGAATTATTTTGACTCCAAGAGTGCTCTGCCTTCCTGAGGATCGGTATGGAATGGAAAGGCTTGTCTGTTTAAGTGATATGAGTTGGCTTTGATCTGAGCCGAAAATGGCCCTTAAGTATTTTCCAACTTGCTACTTCTGTGAAATATGTACAAAACCAAAGTTTGGGGTAAAATGAAAGACTTAAAGTTCATGAGTTTACAGTGTTAATTATAGTACAGCCCTTTTCACTCATCTAACATTTGCTTCTGAAGAACAGTTCATAAGACCATTTCCATCTAATTAGGATCAGATGTATATCAGCTTCTGGTCTGTTTACTTCTGTGCTATAATCACAAATGCATGTTCAACTCAATGTGCCTTCTCTGCTTTCTTACCACTAAAAAAATCCTCATTTTCAGCGACAGACTATCTACATGAAACTGTTCTGAAATGAGTTGGCTGTGTCAATTTTCTTTTTAGTATTACGTTGTGTAGACAGCTGCCATGGGTGAATGTCATATTGGGAGAATCTCCCCCCTGTTATGTAACAATCTAATTAAATTTAAATTCTCCAACTGAGAAAAACATGAGATAAAGTTTTGGAAATCTATGCTTCTTGGGGCAGTAGGTAGGGTATAATTTGTACTGTTTCTGTTTTTATTCCTTTTGAAACAATTGAGAAGTGTGAAATTGAATTTAATAATGTCATCCATTATAGGTGATTTGGAAACCTTAAGAATGCTGAATATCGAGGCACATGCATTCTCACAATTGTAGATTTGAGGATTTGAGAACTTTTGCATGAAAAATTAGCCTGAAGATGATAAGGGTTTGAGTAGCAGGATAAAATGGGGGTGATGTCGCACATTTGATTAATATAAATAGAGATTAGTAACAATGCTTATGATTAAAACAAAGTATGGCAACAAAGGAAAAAGTAATGGGGGAAAAAAGGAAGACACAAACTCAGATGCCAGTGTGTATTATTTCAGAGTTTTTATAAAGGCCAGTGAAAATAGAAATAGTTTAAAAAATAGGTCTTGCTAAACCTCATAGATAGGTCTTTCTAGACTTCCCAGATCCAGCTCTCTTCAAAATGGTTGGGGGTAGTTAGTCTAGCAATGCAGGGCCTCCCTTGGATTTAAGAGGCCTTGTACAAATCTGTCTGCTTTTTGTTACTCCTGCCCTTGAGGTATCACTTCGTTACCTGCAGTGGTAGGGAGCCTGGGTGTTACTTTGGCACTCATAGATGACACCTTATACAAATAGTTATCCTGCTCTTCTTACAAGAGTTTATTCTGCTGATCTCTAGGGAGAGGAGAGAGACTGAAAGATGGAATGGAGAACCATAGGATCAGCCTAGCTGGTAAAAAAGGAGTGGAGCTCAGAAGTGTGAGAGAAGGTAGTCATGCAGCCTAGCAGTGGGACATAGGATGCAGTGTAGAGCCAATGCAATCCAGACTCAAATGTGTTGCAAGCAGAAAAGGGGGATTTAAAGTGCTCATAATCAGACAGAAGCAGCAAACTAATGTAAACTTAAAGGCATGCACTTTTATGCTCTGTTTCATTTATACCAGATAGAAGCTACTCTCTGAGTTTCATAGTGAAGGAATGCTAAGGCACAGCAGTGCCAAAGATCAGTCAGGTAGTGAATCTACAGGTGAAATTATTAAATTAAATAATGGTTTGCTTCTCAGTATATACATTATGATTTTGAATAATTGCTGCTGTTTATTTCCACAACCAACTTTTCTCCTCCTCACATCATGCATTTATTACAGAGTCCACTGTGTTAATTGAAGAATACCTGCAAGGAGAGAACATGCATCAGTCCTTGTTTCCCATGTTTAGCAACTCTCTTCCAACTGCTCCTCTTAATTTATAGGCAAACTATTTCTGCCCCCTGGGCAAAAAGGTGGAAGATAAATCAGATAATAAACAATAATTCTTAATATTAACTTCTACGATTTAATTTGGAGTTGAACTGTCTTGCCCCATAATCAGTTTCAAGGCTAGTCTTAGGAAATGTGTTTGTGAGAGGAAAGAATTCTAAAGGAGAAGGTACATATTATTCCTTATCTCTCAATTGAATGACTGTAACAGAACAAATGTTGTCCAATTCCCAGTTCACAAATGTCTGATCAATGTACATACAAAAAGATGTAATCAAATTGTATACCTTACTGCTCAATAATAGCGCTTTTCTTTACACTTAAGCTTCTCTTCAAGATGATGAGTGAAGCAGAAAGAACTAGTCAACAGTTAAAGACTGCTTTTAACACTGGAGTTTAAGAAGGATTAGAACTTCATTTGAAAGGATGTTTAGTCAGCTAAGATAGAAATCAGTCTCCTGTATAAATGTGTAGCTTGTTTTAGAGAATAAGGGTCTATTTTTAGGAATGGAAAAATATCTAATTCCGCGAAATTTTGTGTATTTAGGTATGCCTTCAAGTCTCTCTTGATTCCTGGCAACTGCCTGGTCTAGCCCCTGCAGTTTTCTTGGCGAGATTTTCAGAAGTGGTTTACCATTGCCTCCTTCCTAGGGCTAAGAGATTGTGACAGGCCCAAAGTGACCCAGCTGGCTTTGTGCCTAAGGTGGGACTAGAATTCAGTTTCCTGGTTTCTAGTCTGATGCCTTAATCACAACTTCAAACTGGCTCTCAATTCCGTGAAATACAGCAGGTCAAAAATAATGCTTGGTTGTATACAGTATGTGGGTCTGCATTTTATTTATTTATGTACTTCAGCCTAAATACTTTCAAGGACTTCGAAAGTATTTGGACATTCACAGATATAATTAAGTTGGGCTAAACTGATTATGCAACATGCACATAGTAACTTAATATGAGAAATTTGGATAAGGATTTTATTAGGAATATGATATATCCATTCTTGGCAACTTATTTACTCTTTTTCAACTGCTGTATGTGAACTGTAGAAAATTTTCAATTATAAGTGTGCCAGTTTCACATAACTAAAGGCAAGTATTGTCACTTTTCAGACTCCTTCTTTCCCTCCTCTATTATATGTCTATTAAATATTTGAATTCCAGATTAGCTGTTACTCCCAAACATACATTCTCCAGTGCTGTATATGCCAACAGAGGGAACCTCAGCAAGGCTTCCAGAAATGCTTCTAGAAAAGAACAAACACCACCCACACTTTTTTGATGAAATACCAAAAATAGCTTGCCACAGGTTCCATGGCAGCTATCTGGCCCTTATATTTTCTATATTATAGTATAGTTTTATCCCACAATGAAGGGTAAGAACTTGTTTGTCTATAATAACAACTCAATTCTGCTGTATCCTCATAGGTTGGTGGTTTGTAAGTACTTCAGAAGAGCAAGGTTGGGTCCCTGCAACTTACTTGGAATCCCAAAGTGGAATTAGAGATGATTCTGAAATTAACATGTCCAAAAGAGGAGAAGGTAAGAAACCTGATAAACTTTCAAGCACTTATCTGTATTAGTTCAAAGACTAGCTTATATTCAGTGCAGCTGAAAAATGGGGAAGCAAGGAAGTGTGAAACATTATTATTATGATCCAGGGTTTCTTGATTAGAAGACTGGGGCTGATAAGGGAATATAAGAAATACTCATTTTTAGAATTATACAGAAAGTGTAATAAAAGTATTCAACATAAATGTTAATTCTGTATAATGATACAGAAAATTCTAGCAATTAACTTATGACCGCAGTGCATATTGGTAATGTATCCCTATTGCTTCATAAGATATTTAACTTACATATATAGCTTCTTACTCCAATTTTTTCTTGAATTTCTTGTAGTGAAGAAAGTCTGTGTATAAGTCTATGTATAATGTCTATAAAACCCCCAACTTTAAAATATTTTTAAAATGAAATACATGCATAATTATATACAGATACTGTATTATAAAGGTTATTGTACTTTTGCCCTACTTTACAAGCATTTTTGTCTGATTATGCTATGTAATCTGGCAAATACCCATTCTCCAAAAAGTGCTTTCAACTAACCTCCTTGGATGGTGCTAACTGAATCCACCCTTTCCCATGTATTTGCTCTCTTTCAGCATTTTTTTTTCATAATTGCATTCCATATATGTTGTTCATCACTTAAACCCTCAGTAACTGCACAGGGTCATTATTAAGCTTTATTAGGTCCCCAGTGCAGGGACACTCTGACTATACTCCAGTGAACTGTGCCTAGAGATAAAAAACCAAAATCCTTTACTACAGCAAAAGAATGGACTATAAGTGACTAATACTCCATGCTGTGGCGTCAGTTTCAAGCCAGCTATGTTTAAATGGAAGTGCAGATGCTGTGGAGAGCAGAAACTGAGTTTTTCTGCAATTCATTAGCATTTGCCCCATGGAGAGCAGAGCAATGATGATGATCTTTGGCCAGTTGAGGAGAAAACCTAGACAATTAGAAAAATTCAGCTGCCATATTAGGGGAGGCCAGATGGTAGACAATGGTATGGCAAAATAATGTTTGATTAGTAATCAGGTGTCAGTTGTAGATGAGTAATCAAATTTAAGTGGGGAGGTTAGTACAAGCTTACATAATTTTTCTCATAGGAATTCTTTGACTTTGAAAAAAAATTAACTCAAAGAGAACTAAGAAGCTGGTAGATTTATTTCTTTCTCTTTACACATTAGATTTGCAAAACATTCAGTTATGAATGCAAGAAGCATGTTCCTTCCTATAAAAAAAGCAACAATAAAATGTCCTCTGTACTTAGCTATTTTAACAATTATGCAGTCACAAAGCATTCTTTTTTTTCAGAAGTGAGTCTGCTGCATATTGAACAGATGAGATTGTCATAACTGACAGCGCATGTAAATGCCTTGAATCTCTCTAAATGTCATTTTTAAAGGATTAGAAAATTGGTCTCAAGATAGAAATTGCATGTGCTAGCTCTTCCAAGCTTTGGCTCAGTTCATGTCTTCCTCAGATTACTTCAATATTCTTATAATTGCCTAAAATATTTTAATTATCATCTGTTTTGGGGATAGATCAGAGTGTTTCTCCCTCATCTTGCTCACATTTCCATGATATCACCTGTTTATAGTACTTTACTTCCAATTTACCAGGTCTTAAAAAATATATTCTTTTTCATAAAGTCTGAAACCTAAGTACTGGTTTTGATGTTCATTGTTTTAAAGACTGCTTTTGCTTCCAAGAGACTGAAAACATGCAGCCTCTTAGACTTGTAGATGGTCCTCATTTAATGACCACTTATTCAGTGACCTTTTGAACTTACAACAGCGCTGAATGAGTGGTAGTTACAACTGAACCTGATACTTATGGCTGTTGCGGTGTCCCGTGGGCATGTGATCACAATTTACAACCTTCTCTGCCGGCTTTCCACAAGGAAAGTCAGTGGGGAAGCCAGCAGGAAGTCAGAAGTCATGGTCATGTGAGGTCCTTGCTTAATGACCTGCGCAGTCCTTGTTTAATGACAGCAACCAGGACTGCCAGAATTGCCATCGCTAAGCCGAGCGGTCACGTGGTATTTCGATTTACGACCACATCGCTTAACGACAGTTTCTGGTCCCAATTAGCATTGTTAAACAAGGACTACCTGTATGTGGTATGGATAATGTCCATTAAATACACAGTGAAAACTGTGATTTATGAGCCTAGTCCTTAATAATTGCTCTCTTTATTGCATCTTGTAAATTAATCTCATTATATTATTACATCACATTCTTGTTAATGCAAGGTGAAGCCATGCAATGGTCATGTTTTTTTGTTGAATTTTGTTTTCTCCATCCATCACATTTTATGTTTCTTTCCTTTTTTTTATGCTTTCATCCATTTTTCCAAAATAGTTTCTAAGAGACGCAAGGCTCATCTGAGGCGCCTGGACCGGCGATGGACACTGGGAGGGATGGTCAACAGGCAGCAGAGTCGAGGTGAACATTTTTCTGGGATGTGGTCCCTTGAAGGGTGCATATGCTGATTGTTGCTGCTTCTCTTGCTATTTGACACTGCTAAGAATGGCTGGCAGGTGCATAATATTTGATAGGGCCTTGTTTTCCTGCAGCAGAAAGAAGTCTGTTTGCAGTGAAGATAGAGGGTATACTGATAGCGTATCACCATGGGAGCCAATTAAAAGTGTCACTAGAAACACTTGTATTTTTACAAATAATTGTTCTGGCAATCTAATCTGTAGTAAAATCTGGAAATGTTGAGAATCCTTTTATATATTTATTCTAGCTTTATGCAGAGATATATACCTGCATTTTTTCTGCTTTTTTCACTCAGTTAAAAAAATTGCATTAGGAGTTCTTCTAAATGAGAACATTTTGGAGACGTTCTCATGGGTGGCATGTGATATTCTTACAGTTACGAGGTGGCAAGGTGTGGATATGTTTGAATGGTCAGGCCTTTCATTGACTAATCATCTTTCCTGTGATCTATAGCCTCCTTGACCTACCATGCTTCCCAAGGGAGATTCCAAGAGATCAAGAGTTACCTAATTCAATTCAGTTTTTTCACTAGAAGTGTTGCTGTCACTCATAAGGGGGAGTCCTGCCTTTGAGAAATTACTGGAGCAATTTGGTTGGAGAAGTCTCTTCCCCACTTGGCAATTTATGTCCAATTGAAATTTGTACAAACCTAGAATTTATTTTGAAATTGTTTTAAAAAATGAAAAAACTACCACATTTAGCATTTAGATTAAAAAGAAAAGGTTTCCAAATAATTAGTTAATAGTTTATATTAGTTAATTTCTTTTTAAAATTGATTTTTTCCAGAGGAGAGAGGGAAAGCAACATTATAAAGTGATTTACAAAAGTTTAGTTCACATAGAATCCACAGAATGGCTTATTGTAAAATGTGAACCTATTCCAAAAGGAAAAAAACTTCATAGTGTACAAAGAAATGAGTTAATGTATCACACCGTCAAAACAAATCATGTGACAGTTTAGCATTATATGTGAATCAGGCCTTGGGCTCATCAAGAACCTGGCCTATTTTCTATTAATTCCTATTTTTCTGATAGAGAAGTGATCTTTCCCATTCATGAGCTCTCAAATGTTATTGAATGGTATTTCCCCTCTCCCCTCATCCTTCAACATTGTCAGATGAAAGATATCACTGAGCCTGAATTTCTGAAGAACTAGTATTTTGTTCAAGTTGTTATAAAGAAAGTAGGCAAATTTAAATGCCTGAGAAGGATTGAACAAGAGAATGTTGAAGGCATTTTTTAAAATATTCAGCTTGTCTTCTTAACAAACTGTAGTATCTTGAACATGAACATTAGAGTCAGCGTATGCATGCCATGTGATTAAACTGAATCAGCGCAAATCAGATCAGGTTGCAGTATTTAGCACCAAACCTAGATATATTTCATTCTATGAAATTTATCTTTTTAAAATTTTATACTGAAAAAAAGGAAAGTGTAGGTGAAGGTACCAATCTTATTACCAAGCCTATACAAAAGAGGCTTTTTCCAGCAATGTTCCATTTTTTTTCAGAGGAAAATACTATATATGCTCTACATATACATACAGGTTTGTATGTTTGCTGTATATAAATGCCCTGGAATTTGTAAATTGTGGGCTCCAACTGCATAATACATAGTGAAGTAGACAAGTCCTCTTCATAAAGCATACCATTCAAAAACAGGGTAAATGCTACTTTCTACCTCGGAACAAGAACCTGGTAGCAAACTATCCTATACTGAATACATGTTATCTCTTATCAGAAGTATTTACAGCAATACAGGTAGTCCTTGCTTAACGACCACAATAGGAGCCGGAAAATTCATCATTAAGTGGGGCAGTTGTTGAGTGAAGCATCATGTGACCGCACCCAATTTTACAACCTTTATGGGGCAGTCGTTAAGTGAATCACCATGGTTGTTAGGTGAATCACATGATTGTTAAGTGAATCAGGTGGTCATTAAGGAAATTGCACAGTTCCCTATTGATTTCACTTTCCGGAAGCTGGCTGGGAAGGTCACAAATAGCGATCACATGATCCCGGGATGCTGCAACCATCATGTGAGCTGGTTGCCAAGTGCCTGGATCACAATCATGTGACCACAGGGGTACTGTAACGGTCATAAGTGCAAGAACCAGTTGTAAGTAACTTTTTTCAGCACCGTCATAACTTCAGACGGTTGCTAAGCGAGGAGTACTTGTAGTAAGCTTCTTACATATAATGCTTTTGTTTATACCTTTCAGAAAGAGTATAAATCTTAGTAAAAAAGAAAAAAAGAACCTCAAGTCTTTTATTGCCATGAAATATGTTATCCTTGGTTGTGGTACAGTCATTTAAGAGAGAGACATGATAGTCATTGCATGTGTTTGAAGCCTGAAGTTACTGAATGAATGCCATTTGGAGACCTATTTGTTGTAATGACACTTCCCCACAAGAATGCCATTAGAGGAAGATCTATTACGGCCATAAATGTTCTAAAGCATTAATATTGGGTCATCATTGAAGAACAATTCTCAGATATAGAGACTTGCCCTAAATGAGCTGATTTGAAGAAAGAGCAGTGAGTAGAGTGAAAAGACTGCCGACTAAGAGGAAAATATGTTTAAGGAGAATTATTTTGTGGTTTGGAAAGCACAAGATTTGAGCTATTGCATTTTTTATTAGGAACCTTAATTAGATAATCCTCTAAACTGCAGCTTCCACTTCGTTACTTTCCCATTTTGACCCAGTGTTTTTCTGATGAGAGGTCAAGGCAAGAAATGTTCTTGTATTCTTTGAGATGTTATGCTGTACTCTTTGAGTGAATTTGATATGATGGCCCTTTTGAGAGAGACTCGCTTTTGTCCCACACCTTCTCCATTTCTTACATTCTTTCAACACACTA